AAAAATGAAGTACTGCTGTAATATCTGGAGTAGTCAAAGCCTTGATAGAGTTCAGAAGTATCTTTGTGTCCTTGTGGCTGATGAATTATTTTCCACTCTATATACACTGTTCAATGGCAAATATTCTAATGTGCTACATTCCTTAGTTCAAGCTTCCCTGACCAGCACAGCTAAGACTCACCAGGACATGTACAATAGAACAAACTATGCTAAGATAGTCAATCAAAACCAAAATAAGTAACACTGTAACTTGAAATAATCCAAGACAATGCTTTTGGAAGGGAATTTACTTACTTTATGAAGTTATAATTGATTTTGTTTTTTGTTAACTATTTATTTAGAATAGTTTCTGCAGAGAAATTAACTGTTTTAAAATTGTACTGATAGCATATTATCCTGGGTATGATGATAAACTACATCCAGCAGCAAGGTCTCTGATCAGCAAGTTTTGAGGAGTGTAGAACCACCTCTTAATTGCTGTTGTTCCCTGGTTCAACCTGCTGGGATGGTAGCACCTATTAGGGCCCCAGTTATGGACAAACATTTGACCTCCAAACTGGGGTCAAAATCCTATGAAAGTGTAAAAATAGGTTTTCATAGTAAAATACATTTTTGAAATTATTACCAGTAATACATTTAACTCTTGACAAAAAAATTCTTCACAAAAATAAAAAAAATCATTTATATACAAAATTCCCAAACCAAAAATTGTTGCAAACATGAAGAGTTTTGATGAGATGAAAAAAAAGAGAAATAACATGCTTCTTTTTATTCCAAAAAGAAATGTAGAAAAACTGAAATCCTACAGTAAATAATTCCTGAATTTCCTTATTAAATTTATCCTAATATCTGTGATAAAAAGTTCTGGCAGCAAAGTTTGCAAAAAAACAAACAAAAAAAAACATGAAATTACAGAAAACAATTCACTGAAATTGTGATTTAATAGCAACTGAAATCTGTTTATAAAGAAATGTCAGCCAATCTTGGAGAAAGCTTTATAATAAACACTGAAGTTAAGCCAGTTTCAATAAATTCTTAGTGTAATGGAATTTTATGTAATCCTAAAGAAAATTTTGATGCTACTTCAACAAAGAATATTTAGAGAATCAAGAACCTTTCAATAGATTTCTCATGTACAATATTTACATATCAATCCATATTTGTAGTCTAATTAAAGAAAAAAGAATTAATTTACACAATATTTTGCAACAACTGACCCAATGCTTCTTCTTTGACCACTTACATCAAACATTATACAATGAAAACTTTAGTGCAAAAACTCAGCTAATAACTGTGTCGGGCTAAAAACATAGGCACATCTTATTCTAAGCTGTTATCCATTTCTGTCTAAATTTTTAGAATGTGGAGTTATCAATATTTACATCATTTACCTTCATTTGTTCAGGAATTTGGTGACAAAGTAATTGTGAGTTCAATCATTGGATTGGGCTGTGCAGAATATTTGCTTCCATTTTCATTTTGTCCATTATAATTAGCAATGTATAATGTTGAGTTTTTGCTGATTGGCATTTTTGGTATTTTGGATTTCGGATGAATCTTAATTCTTAAGTTAATGATTGAATAAGCTCATGGATTAAAAGGAAAAAAAATACCCCAGAATGAGGTCAAAATTTTTCATCCTTTAATAGTTGTGCTTAGATTAATTTGTAACGTATATAAATGTAAGTAGATAAAAGCAAATGTTGATAAGATAGTGAAGGTCACAAAACATTGCTCAGTGCTTCCAACCAGGCTTCCCCTTCATCTGTTTGCACAGGAAATTGATATTTACAATCAGAAAGAGATAGCTAAAATTTATAGGACACATAATAAGGAAAGAGGGCCTGGAGAATTTAATGCTCCCATGTTAGACTTGAATGCCAGGAAGAAACCAGAAGTAGCTTACATAACAGGTTTGAGGGAATGGATGGTAAAAGAAGAACAGGGTTATTATAAACAGTCAAAGGTTACAATACAGGTAAAAGGTTAATAACAGTAACAAAAGAGATACAGTTATGGTGAACTAATTAGTTTGGTTTAGTTTATTTTGTTTTACAGCATATCATCCTCAATGGGTTATTTAATGCTAACATGATTTTTAGGTTCATATGAATAGAATATGGATTCTTTGTAAGAAATCAGTTTGTAGATCAGGTTTCATTGACATATTTTTGTAAACGTTTTTTTTTGTCAAGAGTCAAATGTATTGCTGGTAATATTTTTTTTCTGAAATGTATTGCTGGTATGTTTACTATAAAAATCTATTTTTATACTTTCATTGTATTTTGACCAGTTTGTGGGGATTAACTATTTGCCCATAGCTGGGACTGTAAAAGGTGCTTTAAACCCAGGTCAGAGTGGAATTGGAAACAACAGTAATTAAGAGGTGGTCCCCCATTCTTCAAAACCTCCAATCTCCTGATCAGAGGCCTTGCTTCTGGACTCATATGATAAAGTGAGATCAGAAAATGGTGTAGTTTATCATCATACTCAGGACATGTGGAGAGCTATGATTACCTGAATGGAAATAGCATATAAAAGAAGATGACATGGTGTATACATTTATAATTTTGATGGGAGAATATTTCAAAACACTTCAAATATTTGCTTAATGGTTCTTTACTTTGATGTGAAGTATAAGAGTTTATTGATGAGTGATTATTGTTTCAACTTAATATTTATTAAATCACTCTTTAAGTTCAGATGAGTTCTTAGTTCTTTGATAAATGTCCTTAAGTCATGTACTACTGAATAGTTCAATGAATGTGAAACATGAAATATAAGGCATGAAGAGATATTGATGAGTGGTAGAATGACATGCCATCAATCAGATGGGAAATCAAGGTTGCCATTGGTTAGGTTTGTTGAGGTTGGGTTATTAATGTGTTATCATTGGCTCCACAAATGGGTTTTCATAGCAGCCTCTCACTGATTGGTTAAAAAATTAATGGCTAGAGTTTAATGCAAATTTTAGAGTGCTGCCAGATATCATTTCTATCCCATATGAATAACAAAATTACTTTTGTCATTCAAACTCAGGTTTTCAAAGTGTGAAGATATTAGAAGTCCAGTGAAATGTTGCAATAATGCTTTTATATGTGTAGGTTAACTCAAGAGTGGAAATATGCTGTCATTTTAATTTCAGTTTTTCATGTTTGCTTGATTCTCAATATAAATAAACTGTTGCCACACCTCAGGAATTAGCAAACTAAGTCCAAATTATAATTATAGCTATGTATATTCTTTAAAAAACATAAACCCAATACTTTCTGTACCTTCTCTTGTAGCCAGACATCTGACAAAGATGGTAAACAGTAAGTATAGGTAATGCTATACAAGTCATAATTTGCTAAAAATATTCATATATTATTCAGAAAGAATTATTCATGGTTGCCATACTTTTTGCCTCTTTGGTTTTAAAAGTCTCAACATCTTTGTTGTTACACGAATTATATAGAATATCCTTACAGTAATCAGGATTTTAAACGTATTCTTAGGCATTGTTTGAGATAAGCCGATCAAACTGTTTTCCGACAGTTAAATAAGTTTTAAAATAACTACTTTAAGTGGGCCAGGCACAGACTGCCATATTTGGGCCAAGTATAGATATTTGACATGTTTAGGATAAATCTTTAAATAACTTGATCTGATTGGCTGACTGAAGAAGAAGAAAATGATTTATGCCATCAACCAAAATAGATGGAAAAAATCTTTAAAAAAATCAACAAAAATCTAAGTATTTTATTTAAGCATTTCCATATCAGCAGAATTTTTATATAACTCTTATGTGGGTTATATAGCATGCTGTTTAATATAATCATAATTTTGAATATAACATATTTATGTATAAATTAGCTCTTTTCTTTCAGCTATGCCTGCTTTAATTTCCTGATCACTGAGCATTCTTTTTGGTTAATTCTATGATAATCATAGAAATGTATTGTCAGCCATATTTGTTTATATTGGATCTAATTATATCAATCACAGTGACTAAAGTTGGTAAGATTCAGTAAAGTTTCTGAGTTCCCTGTGTTAATAGAACATTTTTGTTGACCTGATTGTAATATCAACTATTTACCAGAAGGTATGCAGAAATCTTATATCATGTATACAGTTCTGGCATATGTTGACAGCATTCAAATATGCAAGCTATGTTCAAATTCCAGGATAATCTACCACATTTATTTTGCACTAATAACCTTAAGAAAGAGATTAATGCAGCTCTTCTTGCCACAACTATGGGTTAAATTGCAGAGTAAATTAGATCCTCTAGCCTTGGGTAGCAAACAGTCTAACAGAAGGAAAACTTTGAATTCAAAACTGTAGAGAAAGCTACAGGTAAACATTCCACTATATTTTCCAACAATGCATGGAAATTCACAGATAATAAAAAATTGAGTCTGTGGATAGTCACGATTGCCTAGACCCTGAAGGGGTATGGCACGTATGGCACTTTCTTTTAAAACTGTTCTGAAGCATTCTTTGTTAGCTGGTTGATGATAAGACATAGTGTCAGTGACACAACTAATGATAAAGAAAAGCTACAACTTATCTTGGCTTTAAATTTAGTTGAGTTCAATTTGATAAAATATATTCAATTGCAACCAAGGGAAGTAATTGAGAATAATACAAAGACTTGCAGATATGTTTGGTTTCTGAAAAGAATAGTAATTCATCAAGAGTGTTAGATATTTTCAAGTAGAGTTTTTGTAAATATATCTGATAGCATAATTTACAGTTTGATCACATTTTTAGAAAACGATGAAGTTTTAAAAACAATATAGCTTGTTTTTAATTCCCAATACCAGTACTTAAAATTCAACTACAATTCTACAGTAACTAAAACAGATTAATTTCTTCAACAGAAACAGCATACAAAATGATTTTTTGAAGAAGAAATTTCTTGTTTAGCTTTTTTACTTCATTTCTTTTTATTTTACAACTGTCTTTTCTATTTTTCATCCTTTTAATTTTTTAATCTATTCTCTTAAATCTTTCATATGTCCTTTTCTACTTTTTCTCATACCATTTTCATGTGTCCTGTTATTTCTTTTTTCTTATATCTTTTCTTACCGATTTCTTATGTGTTCTCTTATATTCTTTTTTTTATCAAAGATATGACATTATACAGTGTGCGATAGATAAAGTGTCATAAATTATGAAAAAAATGAAAATAACACTGACATCTTTTAACAAATACATTTACCAAAATTACACAAAAATATCTTGAAATACTAAAGAGTCAATTTATTCAATAAAATTGCCATTTGATTCAACCACAGCCACCAGACAACTTCAGAATCTCCTGCAACTCTTCTGGATGTTCTCCTTGTTAAAGTTGGTGAATACACTCATAATCCTTGCCTTCAGTTCATCTTTGGTGTTACAAGGAGGTTTTTTTTTGGTTTCTCACTCAACTGTGTACCACACATAATAATCAAAGGGATTGCAGTCTGGGGAGTTAGATGGCCAGACGTAAGGGGTGATGTGGTCACAGAAATTGTCTGAGAGCCATGACTGGGTTTGCCAGCTTGTGTGGCATGGTGCAGAGTACTGTTGCTAGGCATAGGATTTTCTAGCAATCACCCTCTTTACCAAGGGCAGCACTACCTCTTCAAGGCAATTGATACAGGCCCCCATGTTGGCTCCGAGACCCTCACCAATAAATTTAGAAGTTCTTTTCTTATCAGAAAGATCAGAGTGACATTTCTGAGATGGTGTAACTTCATAATCACCATCCGAATCCTCTGCACTTTCCTCAGATTGACACCCAAACTCTCTGAAATATTTATGTTGGGGCTTCTGGTGCAAATGCCAAGCTGTACAGCATGTTGTTTTCAAATTTCTGGCAGAGTGAATTGTGCCATTTTGCTTTTTTTCTCACTGTGCCATCAACAAAATCAAAAACAAACAACATGCATACACAAAATTAAAAATATAAAATGGCAACAATTTACTCATTGCACCCTATATATATATAAGTATAGGATTGATGTATACAGAATAAATTCCAATAACCAAAAAATACTATTCTTAAAACAGTGCTTGATACAGAGTAGAGAAAATATAATTTATTTGAAAATTATAACATAAATATGTTATAAAATCACTACAGAAAGAGCCATTTTGTTTCAACACTTCTGGTGTTTTATCTAGTGATGGTGTTCAACACCATCACTTGATAAGATACCAGAAGTGTTGAAACAAAATGGCTATTTCTGTAGCAATTTTATAACATATTTATGTTATAATTTTCAAATAAATTATATATATATATATATATATATATATATATATATATATATATATATATATATATATATATATATATTAACTTTAGGAGTGTATGAGAATTGGTGTTTCAACATGATAACTGTAAGACAGACATATAAATGATATAAATATATCCTTATATATACATGAAATGTATGGCACAGATTATGAACATTCCTGCTGATTTCAATATATCAGGGTCTAATAGTTCAATTCAGTTCAGAACTGAACTAATAGTTAAATTATCCGTGTGATTAGACTATTGTGATGGAGTCTTTGTGTAGAACTAGTCAGATTTTCCAAATAGCTGATAACAGAAAAATGGTACAGTGTGCCACAAAGTCTCCAAACAGCCCTTATCAGGTCTGAATATAATTTTTGTTTTCATAGTCTGGTTGCCAGCCAAGCTAAGAGAGCACAGTCTCCCCTGCCATTTAACCCATAGCTCGACAAAAATAGAGTTATGCTTTTTCCAAAAGCATGAAGTAAATGAAACAGAACTTTTTTTTTAATCAAGTTCGCTACATGCAAGGCAGTAAAGCCACTGAGACACAAGGGGTTACTGGGTGTGGAAGAGTTAGAAACAGAAACATGGCTAAGAAGAATAATCAGGAAGACAGTAGATAGCAATTGACACTACATTAAAATTTTTACAGATTAAAGTTGGCTGAAAAGCATGGAGCTTGAAGAGAACTCCACAAACAAGAAGTGTGAGAAAAGAAACTTTTAGTATAGAACTTACAGTTAAATCAAGCTGACTCAACTCAGTTGAGACCAATTGGTAGTACAGTACTTCTCTTAAATTCAAAAAGTCTAGGCACCAAATGTAAAGATCTCATCTGAACAACTGCCATGAACGTATTTATAGAAAAAGCACAGTGAGGCAACCTTATAGTGGTAAGAAAGTGACTGAATACAAGATGCCAGAACAGAACCAATAATATTGCTGATTCTTCTTTGGATTTTATCAAGATAAGTAGCAGGATTCCCTGACTATATGTGGCAGTAATATTTTAAGTATGCATGAATGGTAAACTTATAGATATGTAAGATAGATTCTGGAGAGAAAAATTGTCTAACACAACACAGTGAAACAACTTTCTTAGCAGCTGACATTGCAATGGATTTAATATTGTCTTTCCACTTCATGCCAGCTGAGAATGTTAAGGCTCAATGAATCAATCTACTAGAGGTCAATACCATAGTCTCAGGGATCTCTCAGATGACTAATAGAAAGCAGTTTAGTTTTGCATTAAAATTAACAAGCCATACTTTGCCCCAGTGAAGGTTGTTTTGCATATCAGTTGCCATTTTGACCTTATCAAACTGATTAGACAATCAAGACAGTAGTAAATGGTTGTGTTATCAGAATTGATAGCAAGTTGAGAGCTGATGTCATCGGAAGATCATTAATGAAAATTTAAAACAAAGTAGATCCAAGGATGGAGCCCTGGGGGACACCTGTATTAGTACAAAAAATCTGGAAGAATGCCAGTTCAGAATTACTTTCAATTTCACAATTTGATAAAAAAGATGGGATCAGTTTAAAAATTTGTCTGAAGACATCATAACATTTTAGCTTGTGGATAAGACCTGCATGCTAAACCCTGTCAAAAGCTTTTGAAAAAGCCCAGGTTTCATCATTAACTAACCAGAACGTCAACTATGCTTGGCAGTTCCACTTTCTGCACTACCAAGCATTAACCTATATACACACACACACATATATATATATATATATATATATATATATATATATATATATATATATATATATCATTATTTTATCTTTTCCTATTTTCTTTCTAACAATTTACTTTTTTTTAATAGCTCCCCTTTTTACTTACCCTTAAAAATAAAAAAAAAACAACTTTTCCTGGCTCCTTTCAAAAGGTTTCATTTTATCTTGTTGAGAATGAAATAAAAAGGAACAATTTAAAGCTACCTTTATAACTACAGCAGGAAACCTCTTTGCTTGTATTCTTTTTTCTTCAGGTCAGTGCATACAACAACATTTAAAGAGATAATGACAATGATTGTACAATTATTGGCAATAGAGAAGAGTTGATTTTCTCAATGCCATACTGCCTATCATGTCAATTCTGAATACAAGGGTCAAATAGTATAACAGTATGAATTAACAGGACAGATTTCTTTACTAATCAGTTTTGGCAGCAGAATTAAAATCTGGACCATGACTGCAACAGTGATTAGCAACAATACCTTGTGATGTCAGAAGTTCATCTAAAATTGTATAAAACAGCAAGACAAATGCAAACACTTCTTTTCATATCAGTTCCCTAACTCTCTTTTATTTCTAAAGCCTTCTCTCTCCCACTGAACATTCACATCTCCAAATTAATCATTTGTTTATTTTCTTTTATCCTTCCTATTTTCTTCTTCAATGTTGTTTCATGTGGTCTCTGTTCCATTTTTTTATTCGTTTTTCCCTTCTGCAGTTTTTCGCTTGATCGTTTTCTTTTCGTTATAGGGATTTTCCCTTCTTGTTTTCTTTATTTTCATTCTAAACACCTTTCTTTCTTTTGCCTCTGTCCTATGCTATGTCTTTTTAAAGTCTTTTTTCTTTTCTATTTTTTAATTCTTTTTTCTTTTCTTACTTTCCTTCTTATATTCAAACATCACATTTTTTTATGCTTTTCTTTTATCAACAAATTTAAATTCTTTTTTCAACTTTTGGTACTTTTTCAAAAACCTTACATCTGTCTTTTGCACATCCTTTACAGGATTTTTTTAATTTAATTTCACTAGTTCACCATCATTTTCATGATTTCTATACACCTTTGTTGCCTTCTTTTGCAGTTTGGTCTACATTTTTTATTTATATTGACTATTTTAAACACCTATTTTCCTACTATCATCTCTTTATTTCTTGTGAGCCTCTTACTCTAATTAATATATTTTCCTTTTTTAGTTTTCATTTTATTTTTTACAATTTATGACTTCTATATTTTTTCTCCTTGTGTTCTTTATTCTTCTTCTTCCTATCTCTGTTTGTCACTACAACATAAAGTAAATTTTCCATATTGTTTCTTTTTTGCATTCCTTTTCTCTTCTTTTCTTTCTTCCATCTCTTTTTTTTCTTATCAGTTTCTTATAACCTCTTTTCTCTCTTTTTCCTCGCTGTTTGTTTTCCTTTACCCTTAACTTCCCCACACTCATTTGATTGCAGATCACAGAATAATTAGCTTACAAAGGAAGCGTCTCAATTTTCGATCATTTCTTGGCCGGATCTTGTGTTGGAAGCAAGTAATCTGCCCCTGGAGCTACTACAAAACTGAACAGTGCATTGAAAAGCCACTGCCTTCCATGAAAGAAAATGAGAACTTAGTTTACTGGAGGAGATTTTCAGGCTGAATTGGCATAAGAAACAGGTTCCTGTGAGATAATTGATTCCTTCTTGAAGTAGCCTCAAGCAATGGTGCCAGTAGGGAACAGAGGTAGATGTGAGGTTAAAGTCTGAAATGTTAGACTCTAACTGGACTACAGTAGCCTAATGTTTAGTATTATATCAATCAAATGGTCAAGAACAAGGAAGAAGTTATTAAAAGCTAACTAACTTACTGGAAGGGAAGGAATAGCATGATTTGATCTTACTAACTACAAACTTAATTATGCAAAACATCATATTAATTTAATCCCCAAAAGAAAATTTCCCAAGGGCGTTTATACTTTGAAGAAGGTATAAATGAAAAATGCCAATATGTTCCAATATAAAGAAACACTTTATTTTTATTTAATTTGGAAAAAATTTAATGAAAATAAAATACCATGTCCCTTCAAGACATAAGTGTTATAGTTTCCCACAGATTCATTTTTTTTATATTATCTGTAAATTGTTACAACCTATTGGGAAAGATAGTGTTGTTTCCCATTGCATTCTTCACAGTTTGAAATTCATAGTTTTCCTTCTATTAGACTGTTTTCAACCCAAGGCTAGAAATCCCAGTCTACCCTGTGATTTAACACATAGCTGAAGAAAAAAAAAATAGATTCATGCTATGCCATTTGGATAAAAGTGAATGCAACGTGCAAGCTTGGAATTAGTGAATTCATGTACATTATATATATATATATATATATATATATATATATGATAAAATATAATTTTTAGGCATGTTATATTTATGGGTTAAAGTGCTCAGTATCAGGTACAGATTGTGTGTAAATATAAAAATTGTGCACTGACGCCAACGTCAATTGATGATAGTCAGTTTCATATTTGAACACAATCATTAGACCATGACAGTTGTGTGGTGGTCCAACTATTTATATACTGGTCAGGGGGATGTTATGAGTATTAAGTTCAGGTATTTCTGATTTATTATATTTTCCTAGTGGTAAGGTGGCAATGGTTATATCTAAAATTATATATATATATATATATATATATATATATATATATATATTATATATACACACACACAAAACCATAATAATTTTTATCTGTTAGTAAGGATTATCTTTATTTCTGACCACTGAAGATCCACTTTTTCCACATATTCAGTGTTTACCACTGAGATTAAAGCTGAATTTGCTAAAATTAATTTTTCATGAAATTTAGTTGTTTTTCTTGGATTCTATCAAAACTGGAAAGAGAAAATCAAGCAGTTCCTGCTTATATATGGCAGAAGTACTCTGGCTCTTGTAAAGGTAGAGGGTAGCAGTAGAAGTCAAGTACTTACTAGAGTGGAACAGAGAACTGACCATTTTTTCAGCATCTTTAGTGATAGATTGTACATATGTGTTTCACTTGAGATCTCGGTTGAATTTCAGTCCTAATAGGTGTTCAAGTCATAGGGCCTCCCTTATGTGCAAAAATACATTTTTTTTAGTACTAAAATTCAATCAATATAAGGCTTGGAGCCACTCATGGTAGAAGTTTACTGTTAAAATGGAAATGATGAATGATGTATATCATGTGAAAGAAAGAGGAGATTACAGGAAGTGAAGATGAAGAAAATAGATTATAATTGAGCCTTGACTTGAAGATTGTAGTGTTCAGCAAAGCACCGAACTAAGAATCTTTTTCAAAAAATTGTAATTATTGGGATAAAAGCTGTTTATGTTGAAGTTTCTTCTTGCATCTGAAATGCAGAGGAAATGATGGTGATATGACTTTGTAGAAGTATCACATATATATATATTTTTTTACAAGTTTCAAATGATTTGTTACAAAAAGTAATACGGACATACTCAAGAGACTTTTAACTTTGTTTCAATACCATCAAGGTGAAAGGAATAAACCTCTATAGTAGAAATACGTTTTTTGTATGCTTCTTCTGTTTTCATTGATTATATATTAAACACACACCCTCACCTAAAAATACTCACAAAACCCACAACCTTATTAATTTTTGCATCCTATATTCAAGACACATTGCTTCATTCTTAATAAATTCTAATTCCTCAAAGCCCTTCGATATACCCCACCAATAGTGAAAGGTTATCAAAATATTGTTTAAGTAATACATTTTAAAGCTAGAAGCAGAGATGTTTTGCAACATTTTCAAGAAAACAGAACTCTCCATTTTTTTGTCATAGATTGAGGAGCTACACTGTGATAACATTTTTCATACATTCATATCAACATCAATGTGGCTAGACTGGGTTAATTTTGAAAACATAACAGTATTAAATTTTGAAGTTCAACATTTTGATATTTTTGCTACTTTTAAAGTGAGTTGGACTAACTTGAGCTACTAAGATGAAGAAAAAACAATTAAATATTATCTAGTTCTGGGCCTTCAAATGTAGCCTACTCTGGTAACATTGGATACAGGCATGTCATCAAACAAATAGGTAGATATACATTTTGATAAATTGATAGAAAAAGCTGATAGATTTTTTTCATTTATAAGAAAGTTAGTCATTGGAAAGAAAATTTATAGCTTTTATTCCAGAATGATAGAACTATCACTCAAAGTTCCTTCAGATGGCAAGGCTGACAGTGATGGAGGAAATGTTGCCAGATTATTATTCTTTTGAAAGCGTAATGGTACTAAATTTTGAATTTCACAACTTGAGTGTTTTTAGTTACCTTTAAAATAAGCTGAGCTTGCTAAGACTATTAATGAGAAAAAAAAAGGAATACAGCAGGGTTACCAGATTGAAATATTTTTAAAAGACCAATGGTACTAAATTGTAAATTCCAATACTTTAGAAATTTTTGTTTACATTTTAAAACTAATCTGACTGACTTGGACTTAGAGAAAGTCAATAAAAAGAAAATCATAGAATCAGGCTTTCAAATGTAGTCTAGTCTTAGTGATTCAGAGAGGGTTGTCTATTTTGGCTTAGATTTAAACATCCAGTGGAAATAAATTTTACTACTTCAGACATTTTGGTAACTTGTAAAATAAGCTGGTATAACTAGTACTAATGAGAAGAAAGTCAATTTAAAATTTAGTATTGTAGGGCATGCTAATATAGATCAAATCACCAATCTGGTAACTTATATATTGATGTCAAATATTCATATTAAGTTCATAGTAGATTACAGACATTGTCCTTCTTCTCTGTTATGATCATTAAAAGCTAAAAGGATTAACACTTATACCTAATATTATAATTAATGAAATATTCAAAAACATTTCTACTTTAAATGGCATGAAATAATACCATAATACATAAAAGTTAATTCTAAAAACTACAAAAAGATTTATATTATTTTCTTACTGACAAAGATATTTTTTTAAAGTATTTTAAAAAGATTCTTAAAATAAATCTTACTGAAATGCTTTAAGCAAATTTGCTTAGCCTGTTATTTGGAATTTTCTTTTCTTTTATTTACTTTAAATATTTGACTATTTTAGGCTTTCATTTTTTTCATTTTGAGAATATAAAATCAATGAAAATAAAAACAACCAAAGACAAAAATATCAAAATGTCTCCTGTCATAATCATCTTTGGAAATTTAGATTTACTCGTGCCAGTGATTAGAAGAACAGAAATAAAACTGATGATGATGGAAAGTAAAATTTTTAATTTATAATTTCTTACTTTTAAAAATCTTTTTGTATTTGTCTGGTGGACAAAAGTTCAGGCAAGGCAAAAAAAATGGAAGTCATAAAATATTTAGCCATATCCATCACAGAATAAGAAACTTTGCTTCCTAACATTGGCTTTGAAGAGAATTAGGAATAATAACAAAACAAGATTCAGATTTGGTGATGACATGGCAAGTTTCCAGCATCTTTGTCTAGAGAAGGGCTTATACGGTCATATCCTATTCAGTTAAAAGAAGCATATGAAAGAAGAAATATAATTTAAAATAACAGTGTTGAAGATTGTTTATTTTCTCTATGTCTTAAGTTTTCAATTTCAAGTTTTGGTCAGTTTGAATGAACATTTCTTATAAAACAGATTGATGGTAAAATATTTCACTGATTTCCCTTTCTTTTTTTATATACTATATCATTTCAAAGTGTAAACAATCATGGCTCTCTACAGCTTCCTTTTCTGTAATATATGTGAACTGATATGACTTCTTGGAAAAGATAGTGGTATAGTTTCCCATTGAGATTTCCATGATTTAAATTCAGAATAATCCTTCTCTTAGATTGGTTACAATTCAATGCTGAAAAGCCCAGTCTATTCAGATATTTAAACCATAACCTGGGGAAGTAGAAATGGATTCATGTCTTTCCTAAGTGCAAACTGGATACAACTGACTAGTCCAGAATTTGAACTCACCTTTCTGAAACAACTTTCTATACTGATAATCATTACACTTGTGGATATCCCTTCAATGATTAAAGAAAAAGCATCTTTGTAGGTTGAAGATGATAAAATAACTATCTATGCCTATATTTCCGAGATGAGGTATTGTAATTATTTACAGATTTCAAATTTAAAAAAAGAAAAAAGAAAAAAAATTTCAGAAATTAAAATTTACTGCTAACATTTTCAGAATTCAACTATCATAAAAAAAAAATTCATTTGAACTTGAAAATATTATTATTAAAGTTCATTTCTTGGTACAAGCCATCATATAACATATTGTAACAAAATTTCCTAAAACCTTATTTTTAATCATTACCACAACAAAAAGACTTAGCAAGAAAATGAGAAAACATTAGTGAGGAGAAAGGACAACAAAAGAACAGGATATAAGAGATGACAATTGATGCTGCATTTAAATTTTG